TATGGGGGGGGGGCTGTGCCCCTGGTGGTGACTCAGAGCTGTATTGGGGGGTGACTGTGCCCCTGGTGCAGCTCAGAGCTGTATGGGGGGGAGGCTGTCTGACCTGCTGTAGGACAGGACCAAGCCTTGGCTTAATTTCTTATTATTACTGATAACAATCGGATGCTCCTGAGTGCTTGTGGGCACGTCACTAGACCTCTGTGAGTGCAGTCCCCTCCTCGCTCAGACATGTGTCACACGTTATGGTTCCTTATACACATTTATGTGCAAAAATCAAATCTTGCCCATTCCTTGTCACAGAGAAGTGTGTAACCACGAAGGCTGCTTCAGGGCATCCACAGAGAGAGCCCTCCTGTCCTTCTGTGTCTGTGAATGTTACTCTCCCCAGGGCTTTATAATCAGGTGGGTATTTAAAGAGGCCCATTGAACTCTCCACCAGGCAGTAGTCATTGTTATGACACACCCACAAAAGCCAGGCACCCCCACCAGAGGAACCTCCACGGGCCAGAAGTTAAGCTCACCGGAAGAATGGAAACCCAGATCATGTCCTAAAACTGATACATTTGTGCTGGCAGAAGAGGAGAGGCTTTCAGTTCACCGTGAGGAAAAGTAATCGCTGAAGACACTCACAGCAATTATAAACAGTTTTCACGCACAGATCATGAGGTTGCCTTCACTTTTTTTTTCTCCAAGTCACGTCCGTTAGGCGTCACCAAGGAGAGGAACTTATACCCAATCCAGAGAAGAGACTCCATAACTCCGGAGAGCTGTTTCCAGGCTCTGAGCGCAGAGACAAACCTGGACAATATTCATTCGGCAAATACATACTGAGCGCCTCCTCTACGCCAGGACTGTTCTAGAAGGGTGGGGTGTAGCAACACAATGAATCCCGCCGCGGACAAGCCAATAGTTAAAGGAAGTTTGCCTTTTGCAAACTCGGTGATCTACTGGTTGTCAAGAATTTCCTTTTTCAGAGACAGAGCCAGCCTGGACCCGCCTTCCCTTCTTGTACCTTGATAGGGACAGTGACCCCAGGCCTGCAAGGAAGGCTTCCAGAACCACAGCTACTCACACCTGCCAGAGGCCGGAGGCCGTGTCTGCAGTTCCAACAGCTCAGGCAGGTTCCCCGCATCAACAGTGTAGAAGAAACAAGCACATCTCAGATGTCAGGGAAGTTCGCTTTCCCTGAACCCTCCTCCTTTCCAAAGCCGCCCCGGGGGGCGGGGGGCGGTGGGGGAACATGGGTCCTGCTGGATGGGGTGCAGGGGACCTGGAGACGGGCTAGGACTGGTTGTTTTCCTTTCCCAGGGGAAAGGTGTGGAGGCTTTGCAGCACTAATAGCAGGGGACTGGGAGCCTTGGCTTCCTCTCGGGCGCTGCCAAGGCCAGCAAGGCTGCAGGCGGGTGTCTCACCGGGAAGCTGAGCTCAGCTACCAGAGCCGGGGGAACCTCCGCGGAAAAGGTACAATCAGATGGGGTGTTAGAAGTGGCCTCTTCTCCCCTGGTCCTGTTTCCTGAGCTGGAGAGCTAAAGGGGAGGGGGGGGCAGTGAGAAGGAACCGTTTGCCATTAATCTGGGAACAAACGGCTAACCTCGGTGACTGGTATTTTCGCTTTTCTTTTCTCACTTTTCTCAGTGTGGGGAAGCGCGGAGACCGCGCGGAGCGATTGTGAGGGGCTCTGCTGGAATTTGGCAGCGTGGAGGCTTGGAGAACAGCCCCATGCTGGCTCCCATTCAGCAGGCCAGTTTTCCTCGAGCTTTGGAAGTTTCGCTCAGCCGTGCACTCAATGGCTTCACAAAGCTGATTACAAGCTTCAGCGCATTCCTGAAGGAGCCAAAAGCGACGCAGGTGCAAACGAGCCGAGGGAGCCCCTTATCCCGGTGACAGAATGGGACAAGCTGGGAAAGGCTTGGACCACACAAATCCAAGCTCACCAGGCAGCAGAAAGCCTGCCTTGGGAACCGGGGGTCATTATCCGCCCTATTCAGCGGGGCCCGGGGACCCTGGGGGCCCGGAGGCCGGCCCGCGCGGGAGCGCCAGTGCGCCTTGGGGCTGTGGGGACCCCGCCAGGGCCTGGGGCCGGGCCGGGGCGCCGGGTGGAGGGCTGTGCCTCTGCACACGCGGCTTCGGTAAAATCTGTGCTCCGACGTGCCCGTGTCAACACCAGCAGGGACACAGGAGAAAAAGCGCGCAGGACGCAACCGGGTGTGTGGATACTGCAAAACGTTGGCTCATCCAGCGTCCAGACCTCCCTGCCCTGTCTCTGCCCGGCCTGGCGCTGCGCGTCCCCGACGGGCCCCCAGGCCACTGACACAGCCGCAAGGGTCATTCTGCGCCCTTTCTCTCCCAGCCCCCCTCTCCTTTCAGTCTTCCTAGAGACGGGGTCCCGCTGAGCACAGCCCTACGCGGTGCTGTGGGAGGGACAGTGGGGGTGGGGGTGGCAGGTCACGGGGTCGCCCCTTCGAACTGCTCTTGGCTTGGCCTCGGATGCCTTTGCTGCGAGACTGATTCCCTGGCAGGGAGGAGGGCCCGGCCCCTCTGGAAGAACGAAAGACGCCCCCCACTCAGGCTCAGGGACCAGGGCCGGGGGACAGGGGGCCGCAGGCCGAGGAGGAGGGATTCCAGGCAGAGGAGCTGGTACGCGGGCGTCACCCTGGGGCCGCCACCGGCCCGCGTCAGCTGCGGGACAGTGAGTCCCCGCGAGCGGGGCGTCTGCCTGGTGCGGGCCCCTCGCTGCCCGCCGCGCGCGGGGCCTGGTGGCGCCCGGGGGTCCCCGCGGGCAGGGCCAGGGCAGGGCGCTCGCGCCGACGCTCTTTTGTCTGATAACTAATTTGAGTTAATGCGATCTTTATGTAAAGCTAACAGCGGATAATTGTCTATTTTCTCGCCAACAATCTCCATCACAATCACTTATCTGGAAACCTGCGCCGGATTAATCGTCATATTCCCGAGATGAGCGTCGCTGCGATGCGCAGCGAGCCCGGGTGGGGACCTGGGAACGCCTCCCCCACGCTTGCGGGCCCGGTGCGTGCGTCACGGCTACAGGCCGCAAGTTGGGGGGCCCGGGGGCTGGTGCCCACGGGCGCGCACGGCGCCTTCTTCAGGGATCGCTTCTACTTCTACTCGGGTGGGTTGGGGGACGGGGTGCAGGAGGAGGAGGGAGGGGGAGGAGGGGAGGAGGAAGAGGAAGAGGAGAGGCAGGGTGGCGGTCCTGCGGGGCTGCAGGGCGGGGCGCAGCCTGGGTCTAACTGGGCCTCCTGGTCCACGCGGGAGTCGTCAGCGCCAGAATCAAGTCTCCTGACGGGGGAGAGAACATGCCCACCCCCCCCCCTTGTTTTCTGCAGAAAAGATATTCCCTTCCTTCCTTTGGGTCGCTCTAGCTTCGTGCCCTGCCCCAGCCACCCGTCACCGCCTTAGATCCCTCCTCCAAGGTCCCCCATATCTGCAAATTATTGGCAATAGTTACACCCCTCTCCCGTGATTGAAATACCCAAGGAGAGAGCCTGAGGTGTGGAGGCATGACCCAGTGCCGCAATCCCCACCAGGCCCCAGGGTGAGGGGTAAAAATGCAGTCGGGGCCTCTGGGGGAAAGGCGCTTGCACGACAAAGATTTTGTCTTTCTGAGCTGAAGTCAAAACATCCGTGTCAGATGAAACCGCGCGTGGTGGCGGTTCTCTGCGCGCGCGCCGCCGCGCTGTGTGCACTCTTGGGAGACCGAGTACGTGTGCCTGGTGACTTGGAACTAACCCATTCTGCTTACTTCCACTCCGATCTGCCAGCCAAGGGCGCAGCATCGCAACTTTCCAAAATGGTGTTTCTGGAAAAGAGAAATCCGGTCTGGATTTGTGACAGTTTGGGGCCACATAGAAGGAAGCTGTATGTTTCCCTCTTGGCCGACCCTTAGAATTCTAAAAGGAAAGGCATACGGTGAAATAAAATGCCATAAAATTGTTGTATTTTTAGATAAAGGAGGACCCCAAATTGCCCCCCAAATGGGGCATTGTGAAGTCCTGCTAAAATCCACAAGCCTTCAATTTTCCCCTCCAGCAACTTGATGAGGTCTCTGAAGGCAGACAAGTAAACCCACCCTCCTGGCCGGCCAGCGCGGCCCCTGCGGAGTTTCCCAGGGCGGCTTTGTGCCGAGGCCTCCGGGAATCACCCCGCTCTCTCTCTCACCTGAATCTTGTCATCTCGGCCATCTTGAAGTGATCCTGGAACAATGCTGATCCCCGCGGCCCGAGCCGCTGGTCAATCAGGCAGAACGGACCGTGCAGATGGAAGGGGGGGAGGCAAGCGCCGGGAACACTGGGGCCCATTGTCCTGGGGGTTTCAAAGCGCCGAGCAGCTGCACAGACTTGTCGCCTCGGACCCTCGGTTGCCACACTAATGTCATCATTGCAGAACATCAGATTTTGAGCACTATACAGTCCGAATTCATTAGCAGCCTTCTCGGCAAAGGTCTCTCTTCTCCGTGACAAGTTTCAAACTCCAGATCCCCTTCTGTGCGGAGGGGGAGGGGGGCGCTTTGCAAGTGACAACCGCAGACCATCCAGAGTTTCCTCTTTCTGGTGAATTCCAACCCTTTGTAACCGTCCTTGGGGTTCAGATCTCAGAAGGACGTCTGACTCAAGCCACTCGGGTCTCCAGGCGTCTGCATTTTCTGAGTGTTGCTTGCAAGTTTACCGCCCTCCCCCTCCCCCCCCCCAGCAGCTAGCGTAACAGGTGGACTGAATTTAACAGACCGGCGCCACCCCCCCTCGGGATAATGAGGTGAAAGATTTTGAAGTCTTTTCTGTAGCTGGAACTCAAATCCACACATTAGAGCAGTTGTGCCCTAAAACAAACAAGTTATTCACACCAGACACGTGCCTTGTCCGGCTACCGAATGGCTACTCCTCCATGCTGCCATCCTGCCTCCTGTCCCCTCCCCCCCCCCCCCCCCCCCCCTTCCGGGGGGGCCCCTTTTTTTTTTTTTCAGAACCTTGTGGGCGGGCGGGTCCCAGGGCCACAGAGGCCTAGGGCACCCACAAACACAGCTCAGCTCTGTCCTCCAGGAAGCTTGCCTTCACCTCCCCACCACTGGCCTTTGTTAATGTGTCCTTCCTCTGCCTCCTTCCAGGAGCCCACATCCTTCATCCTCTCCCTTCCTCACCGGGGGCTGGAAGTCCTTCCCAGGAAAAGGCAGTCAATGTGGAGAAAGGCTCTGGGCCCTTCCCAGCACGGAGCTGAGAAGCAGACGTGGAGGCCAAGGGTGTGGAAAGGCCAAGTCCTCTCTGAGTGCCCAGAGGCTCCCTAGGGGCCCTGCAGACCCCCCCCCCCCCACCCTCCGCCCTAGCCCTGCACCTCAAAGCCTCTCAGGTGCCTCTGGTTTCCTGACAAACTGAAGGTGTGATCTAGTCACGTTTTTGTAAACACAAGAACGGCCCCATTTGGTGTCATGTTTGCTCGGGTGTCTGTCCGGTGAGGGTTGGGGGCGACTCAACTGTAGGTGGTCACTTTAAGGGCTCCAGAGAATTGACCTAGAACCCTCCTTTTTCTCCCGGGAAAATTCTATGATTTGGGCCTGGACCCTGCGGCTGCTCTTGGAAGTCTGTGCGTGTCTTAGGCTCTGGGCCCTGGAGCTCCCCAGCACCCTTGGGGAGCCCTCCCCCGCAGGTCCACAAGTGTGTGGGGGGGTGCCTGAAGCCAGAGGCAGCTCCTGGGAGATCCTGGCTGTGGTGCACACGATGACAAGTTCCAGGGGGATGGCGGTTTTGCAGGCTTGGAGCCCCAGTGTCTCTCCAGGGTGTAGACAGTGTCTGGTTCATTGGGGCATCCACAATACGTTTCTGAAGGACTGAAGACGCCCTGGTCACGGGTAGAGCTGATGGCCCAGGAAAGTGTCCATGGCCTGGGGTTGGGGGAGGGGCTCTTCCTGGCAGAGGCGGTTGGCCAGCACTGGCCCTGGAGCTCACACACATTCACTTCTCACACACATTCACTCCCACATACCCACACATGCCTTACACACTCACGGCCCCGCACAGCACATGCGCTGTGCCCCCCATTCACATGAGCACCTAGAGGCTCTCTCTGGAACATGGGCGCGTGCTCCGCAGAGCCGCATGTGTTCCCTCGTGAACATCTCCCCTCCCCCCCTCGACGCCCCCAAGGGTCCTGCAGTGCAGGCTGGCTGAGCGGGGTGGGTGGCCAGGGAGTCCTGGACCCCCCTGGGGGAGAACCACACACCGTGAGGAATACTCTGTTAGATACACACACAGGGACGAATGAGCGAATCTCTACAGAATTCAACAAATAGGGCAGTCGAGGAAGGACGAGGGTGGGTTGTTTCTGGATCCTCTCCTTCTGAGCTATCAGAGGGGACGCCTCCAAGCTTGCTAGAGTGGGCGCAATTACCACTTTGTCCCGTGGGTCCCACCTCTGCTTTCTCCCAGGATATTCTGCCCTGACGCCCGCTCACACCGCGGTGACCCAGCGTGGGGGCCACCGGCCAGGTGTGGCCCGGAGCGCACAGAACGGGCCGTGGGGGCACACGGCAGACGGGCCAGCTTTCAAAGACATGGTGTGAAAGGAGGCATGTGAAATACCTCCCTGGTTGTTTAAAAATATTAATTTCATGTGGAAATGATTGTATTTTGGATATATTGGGTAAAATAAAATACATTTTTGAAGTTAATTTCTTTCTGCTTCTTTCACTTTTTAAAAATGTAGCTTTTAAGAAATTAAAAAAAAATGTTTTAACATTTATTTATTTTTAAGAGAGAGAGAAACAGAGTGCAAGTGGTGGTGGTGCAGACAGAGAGGGAGACACAGAATCCGAACAGGCTCCAGGCTCCAAGCCTCCAGCACAGAGTCTGACACGGGGGTCAAACCCACGAACCCTGAGATCGTGACCTGAGCCTAAGACGCTTAACTGATGGAGCCCCCAGGAGCTCCTTAGGAAATTTAACGTGACCCGTGTGTCTCCTAGTTGTGGCTTGCCGGCTTTCCCACGGATCCTTCCAGAAATGGAGGAGGAAACTGCTGAGCACAAGGTTTAGCAGGAGGCAGTGCAGACCCTCTGGGTGAAAGTCGCTTTTGTGCGTAACCTGTCATTGAGGCCTCTGCTTCTGCGAGAGGGGAGCACGGTGGGGGCAGGGCGGTAGCGCATTGTATCTTATTGTCTGGTTCATTTTCTTTGCATCTTGACTTTAATTCCGTCTAATTGCTGTATTGTGATCTCAGTCAGCAATCTGAAATGAACTCTCAAGTAACTTCTGAAGACTCTTGCTACAAATGTTGGATCGTGATGAAGTCTAAATGACAACAGTTTACTCCCTAATGTCTACAGGGCCTGAAGTAACCCTTTCCTGTAATTTCTAAATTTCCGGTCAGCATTTGGGTACTCCTCCTGCCTTCCCTCTCCCCTTGCGAGGCGTTTCCACCTCCACCCCCCACCGCCACCTGAGACAAACAAAGAGGGAGCTGGAGCCAGAATTCACAGCTCCACAAACGCTTTCTGCTGAGCAAGAATGGAATTGCTTCCAGACTTGTTTACTCCCATGATTGACGTGTAGCTTTAAAAGTTTCTGAGGTCACACCTGGGTCAACAACATCACAATAAAACATATCAGCAAACACTTTTTATTTTATTTTTTCGACATTTTTTTATTGTAAAGAAAACACTTGAAAACGGTCTACCTGAACATTTTAGAGACAAGATCTC